GAACCCGTGTCCCCTGCACTAGCAGGCAGACTCTCAACCACTGCGCCACCAGGCAAGCCTGGGAGGCAGAATTTAGATGGTGACCAGTTCACACACCTGTCCCAGGATCCCTTGCAACATCTAGTCAGCAGGTAGGAGAACTCCAACAGCCCATGAATCTTGCTCCCATGCCTCCGGATTGTGTTTTGGGAAATTAGGCAAACTAAATAGAGATCTTGTGTGTCTTGCTCAGTGGTACCCAGAACAATGCCTGGCACTCGGCAGGCACTCGGTGTCGATCTTTTGATGAATAAATGAATAAACTAATTTTTAGTAGCCTGCTTCCTGGATGCTCACTTGTCTGATGAATGAGGATGCTGCCTGAGCAGCATCAGCTGCTTATTCCTCAATCACTGCTCTGCTCGTGTCCCCAAGCACTCCACCTATGCCTCTGGCAGAGCATGAAGACAGCTATATCTGCTGAAATTAAAATTGCACCCATATTCTGACTCGGCAAGTCCACTTGTAGATAGGCAGCCTGTGGCATGTACCCGGCACTGTGGCTATGATCATCCCAGCAAGGCCTGTGAGCAAGAAGAGTGGGAATTCCCCTCACATATCCACGAGCGGAGAGAGGCAGAGGAAAGAAAGAGCCTTCCTATTACAATACATGGAGATGTGTGCGCACCCCTTAAAAAGAAACCAGACAGAGGGGAGTGTTCTGGCAGGTGAATGCCAAGGAACTTTGCTGAATGAAAAAGCAGGGTATCCAACAGAATAGAACAGGTTCCGTTTTGTGTAAATGCACAGTGTACACATCTGTCCATACCTTTCTATGGAAATGTACGCAAGGTTAGTGCTTTTCTCAGGGAAAAAAGTGCTTTTCTCAGGGAAGGGGTTAGTTGTCACTGTAGACACCCCTGAAGTCTCGAGTGATGGTGCTGGGGGTGGCAGCCAACGTCTAGTGAGCGGCCATCATGTGTCCTGCAGTTGTGTACACTTCACACCGATTACCTGATTAGAGCTTTACACAATCCCATGAAACAGTATCATCTGTTGTTTACAGAAAACTAAGGCACAGAGAGGTTAAACACTATAGCGAAGATGACCTAAAAAATCGGAGACACTTGGCTTAGAGCTCAGGGAGCCTGATCCCCAAACCGATGCTGTTAACACAGTGCACATATAATTTTTCATTAAAAAAACAAGCCCCTAAGAAATTTCTGGTCCAAATATTTCTTCATCCACCGGGTCCCATGACTGTCAGACATGGGCTGGACCTCAGAGGCAAGCCGCTGCTCTCACGACGGGGAGACCGAGGCTCCGAGGGGGGCTGGAACTCTTTCCGTCCGGGGCGCGGAGCGCCCCCCCCCGCCCCCGCGCCCCTGAAGCGACGCGCGT